GAGAAGAAGATTTTTGAAATTTTAGTCAATTTGACCCTTTTTGGCCCCGCTCCTCAGGCCCCGGGGGGCTTAGGACTAAACCGGCAACTATTTCTGTTGACCTGTGTCCATGGAAGGTCCCTGCAAAATTTCATTGAAATTGGTTCAGAGGTTTTGGAGAAGAAGATTTTTGAAATTTTAGTCAATTTGACCCTTTTTGGCCCCGCTCCTCAGGCCCCGGGGGGCTTAGGACTAAACCGGCAACTATTTCTGTTGACCTGTGTCCATGGAAGGTCCCTGCAAAATTTCATTGAAATTGGTTCAGGGGTTTTGGAGAAGAAGTCGAAAATGTAAATTGTTTACGGACGCACGACGGACGACGGACGACGACGGACAAAAGGCGATCGCAATAGGTCACTTGAGACTTTGTCTCAGGTGACCTGAAAAAAACCAAGAAATGAAAATCACAATCAAACAAGCATTTATCAATCATGTAAACCAAATTAAATAATAATCGACCGAGATGAAATACTTCAGGATATTTCGGTGGCTCGAGGGACGGGCGCTCAAATTCTAGGATTCCACCTAGTCTGTCAATGGAAGAAGCGATTATTTAGTTTAAAGCATCAAGACTAAGTAAACCACATAAATCTACGGACGTGCACATGTATTGCATGGTGATTACTGACACTCGGGTTGTAATGTGCATAATAATTTGCTTAAACAAGTCTAGCCTAGTTGCAGGGAGGGGTATACATATGTCAAGAGTGTTGCTTACCGTTCTGTTTCTTTATTTGACACCCACTGACATCAAACCTGAGGGTGACTCGACTCTGCCAAGATTGCGGGTTGATACGCAGATGACGAGTTGTGACGTTTGGGGTAACTTCTGACGTTATTGGCGTGTTTCTGTCATGACTTCCAACAAACAACTTAAATAACAAAGTCAAACTTGTCAGTCGTCTTAATAAGTCACCTTTTGAAAATTACGTTCTAACACAATGATAATGGTCGGTTAATATCATTTGTTTTCACCATGGTTTACTGGTACCCGGGGCATTTGCTTTAACATATTAGTGACGCTGATATTGGTACGACAGGGTTCAGTATTTTATCAAAATAACGATCAAATCAAAGTTCTACGTTATCAGAAATTTCACATGGTTTAAAGTAGAATTATGCTGTAAGTTATGAGTACAAACATGTAATTAAATTTTGCACAATAACAAATGTAGTATTTTAATACTGATGTTTCACTATGTCTATTTTTTATCGTAGAGATACACCCACTTCCGGTTATAGTCAAAAAAATCAATATATATATCATTAGGTATATAACATTGTGTTACTATTGTTAAAAATAAAAGACACTATCTGGACGTTAAACTGTAGTAAAATCTCTTTCCGAAAAAAAACATATCCGCCCGAAACACAAACATGTTCCCTACTGCCTTCTTGTAGTAACAGGCATTTGATTAAAAAGAGCGTGACTTATATTTGGTTCATGGTCGAGTGACACAAAAATATATTCAATTCGTCACATCGTTGTACAGGTAAAGAAAACAAATCGCTCACTCAGTCAAAGCTTGACAAAGGGACCAGTCGGTTTTTAAAGGTTTGACGCAGTTACTAAGTACATTGATTGTGTTGAAAGCAACATTTTGATATTACATATTCGCATTTCAAAACTGGGGAATATTTTAGAAAATATCCTACTGCCATCTGTTAGAAGCAGGCCTTGGTTAACACAAAGTGTGACTCACATTTGGAGCTCCATCAGGTGACTTGACCATTGTCCACGTGACGCCGTCCATGCTGTAGAGTAGATAGTAGGTTGTGACCCACTCATCAAACTGCTCGAATCGTCCTTGTACGGTTACTGCTCTAATTATCGTATCTACTGAAAACGTGACCTGAAAAGGTAATTTTATGTTATGTTCCCTTAATGAACACTGTTCATGATAACAAAAACAAACACACAAGAACATACATTTGTAAAAACAATCAGGATTAACAATATTCTAATAATAAATGCTTTTCCCACGTAAAATTTCAAAAGTCAACATGCAAATAAGCTGTAATGGAGTCATTAAAAATGTTGAATTCGAATGACTCGAATAAGTATATGATCGACATGGTTGGCATTTGCTAGACACATTTTATTCTTTGTTGTGCTTGATGTATCTATATCAATAAACGTAGCTACGGTCGTGACCTTGTGATCTTGATGGAGATTCACAATATCAACATGCATCGCTTACTGTTTCCTTGTGTGCTATTTTGATATCCTACTCTTCATTACAAGCATATGTCAAGAATGTAATATAAAAGAAACGATAAAACTCTTTTTCGGAATATTTTATTTATTAACAATCGATAATATATAATAACTCTATAACTAAGTCTTACCTGTATAAACTGGTCTGTATTGGCAATGCCACTTTGCCAACCTCCAAGTCTCTTTAATGTTGATAGGACATCACCAGGATAGAAAAGCCTGGCATTTCTTGGACTACAGTCAAGGGTGTCTTCAATGTAACTGGAAGCGGACAGTGCAGTATCATTGACGCCATGAAGACCAGATACCAGGAAGTCCGAACATATGAGGATATCTATAAATATAAGGGCGTTTGGTATGTTGACAAGTTAACCAGTTATCCTTCAACGAGACCACAAAGCGATAAGCGATCGATCATTACACAGAAGACGTAACATATCTTTATATTGACTTTTCGGATACTTCGGGGAGGAAATAGGAATATACTCGCTGTTACCAACTGCATTTTGTGAGACGCAACAGATGTAGGAAACCCCTGCAGTATGGCGGATATGCGCATTTAGGACACACCTTTCGCACCTTTGGGATTTTTATAATCCCTTCCCGCTTCACTATGACCTTTTCGTTTCCTAGCTCTTTGATTTCGGAATTCAGATTTCAGCAAAAAAGTGGCTTGCTGTATCCCACTACATGTTGTAAGAGTTGTTAAATTATTTATTTAGAGTGCATTAAAGAAGTCAAAATTAATTTGCTACCAATTTGCTATATAATATAAATATATATGAAACACTTGACATAGCGTCCTATCTAACTAGAATAAGACATACTGAAGCGCTTTACAGTACAAAGATATACAATTTATACCTGGTTTATATCTCCCTATGTGTATATGCACATACACTCAATACAATTGACATATACATTAGATACTACAATGCAATTTTGACGGATAAGCAACAGGTGCTTTATCAGGCTGATACTGCTAGTCATTTGCCGCCACGCTTACATCTTCCTATGTGTGTATGCACATACAATCAATAAATTAACATATACATTAAATACAACAATGCAATTTTAGAAGAATTTGCAGGAGGTGCTTTACAAGGCGCTTACTACTAGTCCTATGTCACCTGACTTATATCTCCCTATGTGTGTGTACCTGTGTGTGTGCTGGAGATATACTGATAAACATGTCCAAATTATATAGAGAAGGAAAAAGAAAGAAAACCTAAGTCTTCTAAGTAAGATAGATGCTTTGCTACATCCAACAAATAGATAAGGACAAAACATAACACTTAGATAATCAAAAGGATAGACATCATCCTAGATGATGCTCCAATGACTTTTGAAAAAGCATGTCATAGTCATAAACGAAGATATTAATTCATCTCTTAGAATGAACAACAGAATTGACCAACGCCTTGGAAATAGTAAATCGCCATTCATAATCGCTTATTACAGAAACTGTTATCTGCCAAGCGAGACATCAACGATAAACATAGCAGTACAATAGGTTTACGATTATTACAAATTTATATCATATACAGTAAAATAACGAGCGTTCGTTTGTTAACATTAAATATTGCATGCGGCCGACCATGGTACGATGATGATATATCTATTTATAGGCATTGTCATACATGAATGGTCGTTTTGTTATTTACAAAATGCTACGTACCTGTCATTACACATTGAAAACAGCAACAGCAATATATCAAAGTTGTGAACTTCATCGCACGTATAGAGATGACGTCATCACATCTAGGGAGAAACACAATATTTCATATCTCCGGTATTTTCCATTTCATGTGTACATGTTTAATAGATCATTTAGATTATTGATCATGTTCAACGTGTACATTTACAAAACATGATTCGTTTTGTGTTCTTCTTTCTTAAGACACTAGAAAATATCAATAATGCGAAGCTTTATGGAAGAAGAAACCTAAATACAGTCTATGGATTATAAACGTTGCCACAAACAACAATGGACATTTCAATAAAGTGTTTTATTTCTCTCTCACCAGAAAACGGCATAATCACATTGAGGCTTAGTGAGATGTTTTAAGTGGTTTAAGTCGAGATACCGGTCATTTGCACTATTTTTTGACAAAAGTAAGAGACGTTTCCGATAGTTCGCAAAATATTTTTTCAATTACTGTTTGTGTTTAAAACATACATAGCATTTATATTTTGGTTCTTGTCCTAAACAATGGTTCAGACTCAACATAAACTATATACTTCAGAAAGGAGGTCTTGTTCTTCCAAACACTTCCAATCTGCAAAAAAAAAACGTCCAAAACAATACACTGTATTCCCATGCATTACACAGTATTCCCATACATTACAAAGTAATCCCATACACTACACAGTATTCCCAAAAATACAAAATATTCCCATACAATACACAGTATTCCCATACAATACAGATTACTCCCATAAAATACACAGTATTCCTATACAAAACAGACTATTCCCAAACAATACACATTACTCCCATACAATACACAGTATTCCTATTCAATGCACAGTACTCCCATTCAATTCACAGTACTCCCATACAATACACAGTATTCCTATACAATACACATTATTTCCATACAATACACAGTATTTCCATACAATACACAGTATTACCATTCAAAATACACAGTATTCCCATACAATACACAGTATTCCCATACAATACAAAGTATGTCCATACAATACACAGTATTCCCATATAATACACAGTATTCCCATACAATACAAGATATTCCCGTATAATACAAAGTATTCCCATAAAATACACAGTATTCCAATACATTACACAGTATTCCCGTACAATACACAGTATTCCCGTACAATACACAGTATTCCCATTGATAAACAGTATTTCCATATAATACAAAGTATTCCCATACAATACAAATCATTTTCATACAATACACAGTATTACCATACACTACAAATTATTCCCATACAATACACAGTATCCGAAATAAAACATATTATTTCCATACAATACACAGTATTCCCATAAAATACACAGTATTCCCATACCATACACAGTATTCCCATTCAATATACAATATTCCCATACCATACACAGTATTTCCGTACAATACACAGTATTCCCATACAATACAAATCATTTCCATACAATACACAGTATTCCCATACAATACAAATCATTTCCATACAATACACATTATTACCATACACTACAAATTATTCTCATACAATACACAGTATTCCGAAACAATACATATTATTTCCATACAATACACAGTATTTCCATAAAATACACA